TTTCTCTCTATTTGCCATTCTCCCTACACTTATAAACCTGTTCAACATTCTTCCATCTTAGAAACAAAAACCTTTTTTAAATCTGTCTTCTGCCCTACTTCTGTTGACCTTGATCACATCTTTATGTCTCACCTGGAGTTTGCAATATTCTCTTAACTGATCTCCTTCCCCCACTCTGCCCATGGCATCAGAGGGATTTACCAGACAGAGAGATCAGAGCTGGTGGTGCCTCTTTTCCAGAACCTCTTCCAAGTGGGCTGAAGATCTAGACGCTGTTCAATGTGGTGTCTCATGGCCAGGCCCACCCTGCAGATCTGTTCCTCACATTTCAGAAAAACTTTTGAAATTTAAAATGTGGAAACCTACTGCCCAAGGTGATGGTATTAGGAGGTGGGGCATTTGTGAGGTGCTTTGGTCACAAGGATGGAACCATCATGAATGGGATTAGTGCTCTTGTAAAAAGACTCCAGAGAGCTCTCTCACTCCTTCCACAATGTGAGGACACAGCTGAGAAGATGACCATCTATGAACCAGGAAGCTGGTCCTCACCAGACACCAAATCTACTGGCACCTTGATCTTGGACTTCCCATCCTCCAGAATGTGAGAAATAAATTTCTGTTGTTTATAAGCCACTCAGTCTGTGGTTGGTTGTTATAACAGCCCAGGCTGACTAAGACAACTGCTGTTCAAGATGCGATTGACATACAGTAAACTGCACATATATAACAGCTTTGTTGAGGTATCATTTGCAAACTGTACAATTCACTCATTTAAAGCATACCATTCAATAATTTTTAGTGTATTCACAAAGTTTGCACATATTTGAAATGTACAATTTGGCACATTTTGACGTACGTACATACCTCTGAAATCGTCACCATAATTAAGATAGATATCCATCACCCCCAAAAGTCTCCTCCTGCCATTAGTAATTTCTTTCCCCCCTTCTTGGCAACCACTGATCTGCTTTCTGTCCTATAAAGTCGATTGCATTTTTAAGAATTTTATATAAACGGAACCATATAATATGTACTTTTCTGTCATTTGTTTTTGGTCTGGCTTCTTCATTCAGCATAATTATTTTGAGATTCATCCTTGTGGTAGCATGTATCAACAGTTCCTTTTTTTGTTGCTGAGAACTATTCAGTGGTATGATTATACCACAGTTTATTTATTGAGTCACCTGTTGCTGGAAATTGGGTTGTTTCCAGTTTGGGGCTATTACAAAGAAGCTGCCTGAACATTCATGTACAAATCTTTGTGTGACTTGTGCTTTCATTCTTCAGGGGTAAATACCTAGGAATTGCATGGCTGGATCATATGGAAAGTATATGTTAAACTTTTTAAGAAACTGCTACTGTTTTCCAAAGTGGTAGTACCATTTCGCATCACCTCCAGCAGTGTATGAGAATTCCAGGTGCTCCCCATCATATATCTGGTATCCTCAGTCTTTTTATTTTTATTTATTTATTTATTTATTTTGGTAGGGGAAGATTGGCCCTAAGGTCACAGCTAACATGTATTGCCAATCTTTCTCTTTTTTTTTTTTTTGCTTGAGGAAGATTGTCCCTGAGCTAACATCTGTGCCCATCTTCCTCTATTTTGCATATGGGACGCTGCCACAGCATGGCTTGATGAGCGCTGTGTAGGTCCATGCCCGAGACCCGAACTCACGGACCCCGGGCCACCAAAGTGGAGCCCATGAACTGAACCACTATGCCACCAGGCCGGCCCCAGTCCTTTTAATCTTAGCCATTCTATTAGATGTGTAGTGGTGCACCTCACAGTTTAAAGGCCAGTGGTCCTAACCTCTTAGGAGCTCCCGTTACATACCACCCAGTATCACTTCTCCAAGCTTTTGCTCGTGCTATCCTTGCAAACTGGATGCCTCTCTACCCATCCCTCATCTTAGTTAAACCATCTTCCTTTAAGGCTCAGCCCCAGCATTCCTGGCCCTCCAGGTTGAACCAAAGTCTCTCTCTCTCTCCATATATGTGTGTGTGTGTGTGTGTGTGTGTCTGTATATGTTCTATGGATAATTTTTTTCAAAGCATATTTGCATTATGATGAGCTCCTCTGTCTGGGTGACTTCTCCCCACTCAAGGATGGGGACCTAATACAGGGCTTGGCACATGATAGGTTTACAGTAATGAATGGAGTGGCAGAGACAGGACTCAGCATCCTATCTTTGATGTGAAAAACATAGCCCTAGTTTCTCTTGTTTAAAGAGAGCTGTCATTGCCGTAATTATTTGACACTTATTAATCAGAAACAAGGTGTAGCGTGGAAATATTTTTAAATGAAATGAACAGTTGTCCTCATCTTAAAAACATCCTTCAAACATGGAAGGTGAAATATAAATGAAGTCTAAGGAACTCGTGAATTTCAAGGACGTTAAACTTTGTCTGAATGACGGCCTCCCAGTCCGTCTTCGCTTTATGATTTTAAGGTTTCCTGTCTGAGAATTTTTAAATATTTTTGAGTGAACTAGAGCTAGTCATTATGCCTGTAATGTTTTGTCTATGTTGGTGAGTGGGGCAGGGGCAGGGTGGAGAGATAGGTCTCAAGCAGCTTCTGAGAAATTCTTGGTAATCAATAATGTCCACAGGTTTTTCAACTCCCCAGATAGAAGTCAGTCTGATGTGGTTTTTACAGGTTCACAGGAGGGAGGCAGAAACATAAAAGAGCGAGCCGTTTCCAGGACAGTAGTTCCTGGTAAGAAGGGGATGGTAAAGAGGTTAAGTTTCAAAGTCCGCTTAGAAATCGCAGCTAAGGAATGCGGAGCGGTTCTCCCTGAGGCTTTAAAGCCTGCGGATTTGGCCTGCTGTGCGCAGACAGTGGCTCTTGGTTTTTAACCTGGAGCAAAGTGGAAGGGAGCACAAAACATATGCAGAGCCTTCTGGGGGCTGCTGAGTGTGCTGGAATAATGCTCAGAATTAACCAGCAACTAAATGAGTTAAAGGAAAGCCCCAGGATGTGGGAAACCCTAAAGCAATCTGGCTGACTAATCAAAATTATTTTGAAATAGCTGTTCATAGTGAGTTTTGTTCCAAAGCAAGGTAACTCCATCCATCACGAGCTAAATAAAGCCCTAGAAAGATCTATACGATCATGGTAAGTTGAGGAGGTTTATGATTAAAGCTCACGACAAAGTGACCTGTGCAAGAATATGGTGTAACGCAGAGCTTCTCAAATTCTCACATGCACATGAACCGCCTGGGGGTCTTGTGAAAATGGGGGTTCTAATTCAGTAGGTCCAGACTGGGGCCTGAGAGTGTGCATTTTGTGTGTGTGTGTGTGTGTGTGAGGAACATTAGCCCTGAGCTAACATCTGTTGCCAGTGCTCCTCTTTTTGCTAAGGAAGACTGGCCCTGGGCTAACATCCGTGCCCATCTTCCTCTACTTTATATGTGGGACGCCTGCCACAGCATGGCCTGACAAGTGGTACGTAGGTCTGTGCCCGGGATCCAGACCTGTGAATCCCGGGCCACCGAAGTGAAACACGCGAACTTAACCACTATGCACGGGGCGGCCCCCGTGAGAATACGTTTTCTTTCTTTCTTTTGTTTTTCGTGAGGAAGATTCTCCCTGAGCTAACATCTGTACCAGTTTTCCTCTATTTTGTATGTGGGTCGCTGCCACAGTGTGGCCACCAACGAATGGTGTACGTCCGTGCCTGGGAACTAAACCTGGGCTGCAGAAGCAGAGCCTGACAAACTTAACCACTAGGCCACTGGGCCAACTCCTGATGATGTGCATTTTAAAACAGTGCTCAGGTGGCTGATGCTGCCAGTTCAGACCACACTTTGAGTTGCAAATGCAGAGGCTTATGTAAACAGGTGGCTCTTCCCTCTTTTATAACAGATCATGAAATTGTCCTGTAAGCTCTCTGACAAAATAAATACATCTATTGTTAACAGTCCTATGTGTCTCTGTAGGGTATGGAAGTTAAATTCTGATTTCTATCTTCTGCTTTAAGGAAAAATGAAGAGGGAGGGATTTCTTCATGAACGGCATCATGAAAAAGTCATCTGAAAAACCTCCAGATTGAATTGTCTTTATTTTAGGGTTGAAAATACCAAACCGTTCATTTTTCTGATGCTTCTGATTATTGAATGGAGTTAAATTAAATCCAGTATGTCACCTACATACATCAGGAGTAACAGCAGCATTCAAAAATTGTTTAACTAAAAGTTCCATAAGAACAGTCACTTTTCTGGCTAAAACTTGAGAACAAGGGCTATCTGATTTGAGTATTAGATCATCTTCAGTCCAGGACCATCCTGTGTTTGGAGGTACTGTCATGTAGTAGTTTAAGGCACAGCTTTTGAAGCTGAACTCCTTGCTTCAAATGCAGTGAGTCCTGCCACTTACTGACTGTACACAATGGTTTACTCATCTGTAAAATGGGTCTACATTCTAGAGGTGTTATTGGATTAAGTGAGTTGATATTTGTAAAGCTCTTAGAACTATGCATGGCACACATACTATATATATATATATATATATATACATATATATATATATATATATATAAATGTTTGTTAAATATATGACTGAAATAAATAATTTTTAATTTTTTTTTCCCCAAAGCCCCGGTAGATAGTTGTACGTCATAGTTGCACATCCTTCTAGTTGCTGTATGTGGGACGCAGCCTCAGCATGGCCGGAGAAGCTGTGCGTCGGTGTGCGCCCGGGATCTGAACCCGGGCCGCCAGTAGCGGAGCGCACGAACTTAACCACTAAGCCACGGGGCTGGCCCTGAAATAAATAAAATATGTGTTAGTGTCTTGTCTTAGTTGCCGTGTGGAATCCAGAAGCCCTGCTTCTCTTTTTACCAATTAAATATCATCCTATAAGACTTTCCCCATAGGTAGCTGGGTCAGAGAGAAAGGTGATTTCAGCCAACAAACAGGGAAACCCAGAATAAATTCATGAAATCTAGGAGTTCATTCATTTTACTTATTGGTTGGACTCACCTCACTCTTTGGTTTTGCAGTTGGTGATGTATATTGGCCAGGTAGCCAAGGACATCTTGAAATGGCCCCGCCCGTCCTCCCCTCCTGTTGTGAAACTGGAGAAGAGAGTGATTACCGAGTATGGAATGCCGTCTACCCACGCCATGGCAGCCACGGCCATTTCCTTCACCAGCCTCATCTCGACTATGGACAGATACCAGGTGAGGCACCCTGCCTCCTCTTCCTCCCGCGTAAGGCTCTCCATGCAACCAGGCAGCAAAGAGAGGTTTCGCTTCAGAATTTTCTTTTTTGGGGTGCATGTAATAAAGACTAGGGGGAACTAAAACCTATTGAGCCATTGTTGACAACTTCTTCACAAATAAAGTGACCATATAATTTAGCATCCAAATCAGGTTGTGCCTGAGAGTGAAAGTAGATGCCATTAATAGTGACACCAGTGCAACAAGCGTGACGTGGACTGTTCTGGGAACCAGGGTGTGTAGTTTTCACCCTGAGCTGCCTGACGAGACAGCACTTGAATTGGTGTTCTCACCCTCTGTTTGCACCCGACACGAGGAGTTTATGATCCTAGTAAGTGACCCCCCAGGGCTGAGATGATTCCGCCAAATCCTCCTGCTACACTCCCCAGTGCCCAGGGCAGAAAAGAGTCTGCGCCCCAAATTAGCCCCCAAGCATGCCTCTGCCCCTGGTTGGAACCATTAGAAATAATGGCTCCACGTTTTCTAGAAAATTATCTGAATGACAGGAGATTAATGTTGAAAATGGAAGAATTTCACTTAATTAATATCTGCTTAGATGCCAATTATAGTCAGACTTAAAAGTTACATTAGTACTGCAGTGAAGTTTTGTTTCTCCTATCTGAGAAGTCTTGTTCCAATTTTGTGTTTAATTTCATCAATTTTACCTTTTACCCACTGGAAAATTTAGATTTCATTAAATCTAGCGGTTTGTATGTCAATGACAGTATTGTTTCACCCTGCGCCTTTATCCCACAAGCCCAGGGACGTTGCATATTCCAGGTGGTGCAGAAATAGAGTCGTCAGCCTGATGCGGTTGGAAGGGGACAAGATAAGTGTCAGGTCCTGGCTCTACCTCTGCCGTCTTCCACCTGGTCACCTGGGGTCAGAGGTTGGTTTCCTAGATGGGCAAGAGACAGGTATAAGGAATTCATCCAAATGAATGTACAATCTTTCATGATAACTTACTTAATTGTTGTGCCAGGGTCAAAAAAATGGCTGAGCTCCCCAGCACTGTCTGAATTACTTTAATGCAGACTTCTGAGCTTTGTCATACCCAGTGTCATCTGTCCCAGAAGGATGCAATGGGACCAGCATCAGCCCCCACTGGGCTGCTTTCAGCATCCAGAGATCCAGAGAGGCCTGCGAACATGCTGATCTGACTTAGGAAGAAAGCAGCAAGTACAGGCTGACTCCAAGAAAACAACAACCACCATTTATACACACATTTTAAGGCCACCTGGTCCTTCTTAAAAAATTCTTTTCATGGGGGCCAGCTCAGTGGCCAAGCGGTTAAGTGCCCGCACTCTGCTTCGGTGGCCCAGGGTTCGCAGGTTCGGATCCCGGGCGCGCACCGATGCACCGCTTGTTAAGCCATGCTGTGGCGGCGTCCCATATAAAAAGTAGAGGAAGATGGGCACGGATGTTAGCCCAGGGCCAATCTTCCTCAAGAAAAAAGGGGAGGATTGGCATCGGATGTTAGCTCAGGGCTAGTCCTCTTCACAAAAAAAAAAAAAAATTCTTTTCAGCTCATATGATGCAGCAGTTTTCCTAAGGCCTGAGTTTTTATGGACTTCTTTCCTATTTAATTTTTAATGACAAATATACTATGCTGATCTAAATAAACCCATCTAAACATGGGTTTATTTATATAAATCTGTGTTTAGGCTAATGCCCAAACTTTGACTTCTGAATGCATTGACTCATTAATTTTTAACACTTTTTCAATTAAAATCGAGATGCAGTTAATGATAAATCTTAGGAAAAGATGCACAACCCTGTGTTATTGTACTCACGTGTTACATTGGAAAGAACACACTGGACTTGGCCTCAGAAGGCGTAGCTTCTGGTTCTAGCTCTGTCACTTACTGGCTGTGTGACCTTGGGCAAGTCATTTCACCTCTCTGAGCCCCAGCTCTTGATGTGAGGATCACATGGGATGATTGATGGGAAAGCATCTTGCATCTTTGTGCTCAAGTTCAATACTAATGTAACTTATTGCTGGGGTTAAGAGTTTTCCTCATTTGTAGAATGGGGCTCATAATAGCACCTACTTCACAGGGTTGTGTGCAGATTAAATGAGGTAGTGACTATAAAATACTTTGAGTAATATAGACAGTTCTCTGTCATCTTTATTCTTATCATCATGGAAGACCACAGACATTAGTCCTTGAAGCATGTGGACTATATCTCTATGTCTAGTTAATAAGCATAATATCCGTATATTCCTTATATGACTCGTCATTAGCCAGATTTCTTCAACTGCTTTTATTACCACCAGTGAATGTTGAGATTTAGTGAAGCCTGAACTTTGGCCTTGACATCTGTACATAAATATGCCCAGTCTCAGCTTGGGCCCATTGTCCCTGGTCTTCCTCAGGGAGCCAATTGTTGCTAAGCTGTATCACTGCATCTCGTGGCGCAGAAGTAGCTGGTTGGACTTCCAGATTATAGCACTGTCCATCCACCTTGCCCCTTCTCAATACTGTATACTTCATAAGTTTTAATCTAAAACAAGGTAGAAATAAAAAATTATTGACTCCATTAAAACTGCCAGCACTAGGGCTGGCCTAGTGGTGCAATGGTTAAGTTCACACACTCCATTTCAGCAGCCCCGGGTTCACGTGTTTGGATTCCACGTGTGGACCTACACACTGCTCATCGAGCCATGCTGTGGTGGTGTCCCCCATACAAAATAGAGGAAGACTGGCACAGATGTTAGCTCATCGATGATCCTTCCTACCAAAGAAAACAAGAACTGCCAGCACCATAGCCATGGTCATCAGTCTGAAAGTCAAGTTCTCCTATGTCTTATTTGCATGTTAATATGTTGTGAAACTTCCTCCCAGAACTATATTCCTATCTTCCCCTTCTCTTTCCTCAGTTTCCCATTTTTCGAGTGGTTTTAGATCATCAGATTGCTGGTCTAGGGAATACAAGATTAAGACTAGCACTTTTGGGATCAGGAATCCTATTTCCTTCTAGGGCATCAAATTGCACGTGTCCAAGCATGATCTAATTTCCTTGTTTTCTCTTCTTCCCCCGCAGTATCCCTTTGTTTTGGGACTGATGATGGCTGTGGTGTTTTCCACCTTGGTGTGTCTCAGCAGACTTTACACGGGGATGCACACAGTCCTGGTAAGGCTTTGTGGTCAGGTGTTGGAGTGATTGCATGAATAGTATTGTAGCCAGTGTGTCAGCGTGTTCTTCACGCTATATTTTTATAAAGCTACTTGCATATGTAATTGTATTTCCCATCAGGCCAATGAGTTAAGTAATCATTATTTTATAGCAAATGCATAATAACTGTAATGAATCATTAAGATAATATCAAGGAGTCTGAGCTGGGCTAGACCCTCATGACTTTGAAGATGGGCTAGAATAACAACAGTCATTTATTTTCATGTTGGTTTACTGGTGACGCAGCAAGCAGTGTAGGGAAAACACCCAGAGTCAAGGATGTGAGTGTGTGGACACACTTCTCTACTTAGGTCCTCACAGAGATGGGCCTGAAATTCAGGGGTCTCAGCTGCACTTGTAGGGTAAGGGTCCTGCCAGGTTAGAAGAGTCTGGAGTCATTGGCCTACTTCCTTCCATATTGTTCTAGGCCGGGGGCCCTGATGGGCACAGAGAGACACACTTGTATTTAAAGGTCCGTCCACCATTTTACCATGTTAGGGATTTTTTTCCAGGGCTGCCATGGTTAGCACAGTTAAAATTACCTCAGAACTCTATTTTCTTGACGTTTCAGAGCACAAAGCTGGCCATGATATACCATAGGCCGCTATTTATCATCATAATTAGTGCAAGAAAGATTTCTCTAAGAGGGAATAGGCCCCTGCTAATTGTGTTCCTCCCCACGTGAAGCCCAAAAATTGCATTATCAAAAGGCCCCTCGGGGAAAGGCCACCCTTCACTAGCCCTCTTCCTGGTGCCTGGTTAGCATGGGAAAGGTGGCAGGGCAGACGCAGCGGAGGTGAACAGATTTAGGGGGAGAGTTTGTCAAAATGGGCGGAGGCAGAAAAGTGGGAGGAAGTAAACCCTGAGAAAGGGGGCTTGTGGCTGCACAAGACTCAGAGAGCAACATCATGCTCTCCTCTTAAAAATGCAAATCCTGGGCCAGCCCCGTGGCATAGGGATTAAGTTCAGCGCTCTCTGCTTCAGCAGCCCAGGTTGTCGGGTTCAGATCCCTGGTGCAGACCTACACCACTCATCAGCCACGCTGTGGCGGCGACCCATATACAAAGGAGAGGAAGAGTGGCACAGATTTAGCTCAGGGCTAATCTTCCTCACCAAAAAAAATAAAAGGAAGATTGGCCACAGGTGTTAGCTCAGGGTGAATCTTCCTCATCAAAAAAAAAAAAAAATGCAAATTCTAACTCAAGGAGAGACGGGTGGTGCTGAAGGCAACTAGAGTCGGGGCCAGGTACAGAGTAAGGCAAGTGAGGCAGGAAACGGAAGGGACGCTGAAGAACTCAGTAAGCAAGATAAAGGATTTTAATGCAACACTTTAAAAAAATTAAAATTAATGCGAAAATTTTCCACGATGAACAAAATATCCAAATTTTAAATGAAGACCAGCTCTGACCCTGCATTTGCGTGACCCTTCTTCTTTGCGCCACTCTAATTCTGGCCCTGACTTCTAGATCTTGAAAATACTACAGGAGCAATTAGGAGCCAAGCTTACTATTCTACCTACCAAGGTGTGTCCCTGCTATCCTGTCCCGTCTCACAGTGTGTCTGGTGGCTTCTAAGACGAAAGAAAAGAAGAGGAGGGCATTCTCCATTTGCTACCCCGCTGCTTCACATTATAAAGAAGTTCTCTCCAGGGCCGGCCCTGTGGCTTAGCGGTTAAGTGTGCGCGCTCCGCTGCTGGCGGCCCGGGTTCGGATCCCGGGCGCGCACTGACGCACCGCTTCTCCGGCCATGCTGAGGCCGCGTCCCACATACAGCAACTAGAAGGATGTGCAACTATGACATACAACTATCTACTGGGGCTTTGGGGAAAAAAAAAAAGGAGGAGGATTGGCAATAGATGTTAGCTCGGAGCCGGTCTTCCTCAGCAAAAAGAGGAGGATTAGCATGGATGTTAGCTCAGGGCTGATCTTCCTCACAAAACAATAAATAAAACTGTTAAAAAAAAAAAAGAAGTTCTCTCCAAATACATCCACAGACTTAAATATGGAATGAAGCAGATCTCTCTTGAGCGTTTTGGTACTTCTTTTATCTGGGGCTACTTTTTAATTTCCATAGGTTTTAATAAAAATGATCTTGGGAACTCAGGTTAAAATTAAAACCAAAGTAAACAGGAGAATGTGCGGACATGAAGAGAGGGCACAGAAAACCCACCTCCGGAAAAAGACAGCTATGTGTCTTTCTTTTCTCTTTAAAGTGGGTTATGGAGATGGGGAAGCAGATGTTTGTGGGGAAGATCATTCAGGCCTCTCATTCAGATGCAAGGAATGGGTGTAGCCACTCTTTCTGGAGCATCTGTCTCAGAAGAAACTGGAACAAGGGGCCCGAGCAACTATTCCCCCCACCCTGGTCCAGTCCCACCGTCGCTGCCCAAGGCTTCTTTAATAAGCATAATTTTATTTCATAAAGACCTTAGACCCTGACTCAGGGCCAAGTCCAAGTCAGGCTCCGGGGCCAGAGTCCCAGCCCAAGAATAATGGTACATAATTTCTAGTAGCAGAAGGGAATGGTTGGTTTTAATAGTCAGATAGAGTTAAATTGTGGATTGGCAATCTTCTTGATTCAGCAGCCACTTAATAAGCTCCTGTGGGGTGTCAGGCTTGGGGCTAGACCTGGGAGATACTGAGGTAAACAAGACCTCCCTCACCCTCCTGGGTCTCCGAGTCGATCTATGGAGACAGATATGTAAGCTGCTGATTACTGGATATGATGGGGACTATAATTAGCACAGAACAGCTGGATCGGGCCAACTAAGGTGGCATGCCTCTCCCCTGGAGCCCCTCCCATCTGGGGACTGCCCTCATGCACTGATGGTTCTCACCCTTGGCTGCATATTCAAATCCCATGGAAAGCTGTTAAAAAATATCTCTGGGGATATTTGGACACCCGCATTCGTAGCAGCAGCATTATTCACAATAGCCAAAAAGTGGAAGTAACCCAAGTATCCATCTATGGATGAATGGATAAACAACATGTGGTACATACAGTGCGTAGAACGTTCTTCAAAAAGGAAAGAAATTCGGACACATGCTACAACATGGATGAACCTTGAAGACATCAAGCTAAGTGAAATAAACCAGTCACAAAAGGACGAATATTGTATGATTCCACTTATATGAGGTCCTTAGAGTAGTCAAATTCATAGAGACAGAAGTTAGAATGGTGGTTGCCGGGGGCTGAGGGGAGGAAGGAGTGGGGAATTATTGTTTAATGGGTATCGAGTTTCAGTTTGGGATGATGAAAAAGTTCTGGAGACAGATGGTGGTGATGGTTGCACAACAATGTGAATGTACTTAATACCACTGAACCGTACACTTTAAAGTGGTTAAGATGGTAAATTTTATGTTATGTTTTTTGCCACAATAAAAGATATATGTGTGTGTGTGTGTGTGTGTGTGTATATGTATATATATATATGTGGGTCCTAAGCATTGGTGTGTTTTCAAAGCTCTTCAGTTGATTTTAATGTGCAGCCAGGGTTGAGAGCCATTGATTAGACTAATTATCCTTTAGAGCTGGGCATGGGCATGTGCCTGAACAAAACTCGAGTTGGAAGGTGGAAGGAAGGCAGAGACGATGCTGTGTAGGCACCCACCGTGTCCACATCATGAACCGCACTAATCGCACGCACCTAGGATGCTCGCAACACTTGAGTCCTTCAGGTGGCTGCCTGCTTTATATGAATGGTTCTCTGTGCATGAGGAGGAAGAACAATTCATGGAAGCAGTAAATTGTTTATCTCTTGCGCATTAAGAAATCACTCCTCCGGGCCGGCCCTGTGGTGCAGCAGGTGAGTGCGCGCGCTCCCTGCTGGCTGCCCGGGTTCGGATCCCAGGCGCGCACTGACGCACCGCTTGTCAAGCCATGCTGTGGCAGTGTCCCATATAAAGTGGAGGAAGATGGGCATGGATGTTAGCCCAGGGCCAGTCTTCCTCAGCAAAAAGAGGAGGATTGGCAGATGTTAGCTCAGAGCTGATCTTCCTCACAGAAAAAAAAGAAAAGAAATCACTGCTCATCAGAGGTGAATAGGCTTGCTGTGATGTCAAGGCTTTGGGGACAGGCTCCAGCTGACTCCTGGGCAGGCCCCAGTCAGTGTGGGTAGGCACTGAACCTCATGTAGTGTCACTGTCCTGCCAAACCAGCTCTGACCCCACCTCAGAGAAGGGCATCTCTGTCTACCAAGACGCCCAAGCAAGAAACTTGGGCACCACCCTAGCTCCTCCCTTCTCATACCCCATCAGCCAGGTAGTCACCAAACTGAATTAATTCTGACTCTTAAAGATGTCTTAGAGCTGTTCTTACACCACTGCCAGGATATTTCCAAATCTGATTATGCTGTTCCGTACACAAAGGAGAAGTTTCTCCATCTCCTGTTGGATGTCAATGATGACACAGCCCCAACTGTGAGTGACAGCCGCTTGGGGACCCTAGGGGAATCGACGTTTGAGAGAAGTCAGCACTGTTTATGGCAAAACATGAAAATAAAACACAGAGGCCCTGATGACATCCTTGAGCTGCTGACTGCACCACACTTGGGGCCACCCTACCTCTAGGCTCACTGTTCAAGGGAAAAAGTTCCTTATTGCTCAAGGTGATTTTTATTGCAGTCTTACATTTCCCATAGTGAAAAGCATCCTAACTGATGATTTACAGCAACAATTTTTTGGTGTTATAAGTTCATGTTCTCTTGGATTGAAGAGAAAATCAATTGCAGCCAGCTGAAGGGGAAAAAAAAGAAAAAAATGTAGAATGTCTTAGAAGGGCTAGGGCAGCTCATGGAATCCAACATGGAGGGGGTCAAGCAGCTAAGCTTTAGGAAGGGCCAGAGCGAGGGTGGCACTGAGGGTGTCTTCCTCTCCCTTTAGAGCACCACTGTTCACAGAACCCAGATCCAGACAACTTCTCTCTAGATCAAAACTTGAACTTCCGGAGATGAAACTTTG